GGCAGTCCTCCCTTGCTGAAGCGGGCACGTTTTGTTCCGTGTCGCTATCGCATGAGCATTCGTGAAGTCGCCAACATCATCTTCGACCGAGTCGTGAAAGATGATGGCTTACCTCACAGCATCATCTCCAACCGTGACCCGCGCTTTACCAGCACATTCTGGCGACGCCTACACGAGGTGTACGGATCCCAACTCCGCTTCTCATCGTTTTACCACCCTCAAACGGATGGTCGGACTGAGGTCACCAATAAAACTTTCGGTAATATCCTCCGAAAGTTTGTTAGGGATGACTAGCAGTGAGACTTACACTTAGCCCACGCGAAGATTGCGTACAACCATGCTGTTTCGCCAGCCACGGGGATGTTGTCATTCTATTGCGACCTCGACTACCACCCTCGCGTACCCGTGGACTTACTACGACCATCGCGGTTGCGCCATAACACTCGTTGTCCTGCGCTTGACAATTGGATCGCCCACATGGCGGCGATTATGAAGCGCGCAGACGAGAGTCTAACCGACTCCCAGACTCGTATGGCCACACGAGCAAATCGATTACGAATGGATCATCCATTCAAAGTCGGTGACGATGTGCTCGTCGACGCACGCCACTTACAGCTCGAAGCGGATACGCTTCGCAAGTTCATGCGTCGTTTCTTCGGTCCATGCCGCATCCTTCAGGCCGTCGGTTCTAATACTGCCGCTAGTCCGGTCAGCTTTCGTATGAAGCTACCTGATTACCTTCGACAGGCCCGCGTACACGATGTTTACCACGTCTCCTTGTTGCGTCCTTATCGCAGACCGTCCGAGCGCTTCATCGGACGCTCTCATGAGCGTCCTCCCCTATCATGGTGGACGGTCACGGGGAGTTCGTCGTTTCCGACATCGGATCTCGCCGAATTACTGACGATACCCCTCCACACATCGAGTACCTTGTGCATTGGAAGGGCTATCCTGATGAGGAGTCTACTTGGGAGCCCCTTGAGCACCTGGAGCACGCCCGGATGTTGGTGCATGCATATGATCGTGCTCGTCGTGCTGCGACATGTGCTCCTACTCAGCCGACTGACCCTCTTCCTCCTCCTCCGACTGAGAGATCGCTGAGGACGAGCCCGCTCCCTCTGAGGCCGTTCTTCAGCAGCAGATGAACGCCTTCGCGCGTCCACAACGCACTCGTCGACGTCCTCGGCGTCTCAACGATTGACACTCTGATCACCTACTATCTCCTTACTGACTCACACCATCAGGTACTCCATCATCAACTTCTTCAGGATGTCAACGTTTTGCGGCTTTGCTTCGACATCGCCTCGACGTCATCGACCACCTCGACGACTTCAACTACCTTATCGGGTTCAGTTACTTTGGACGTGACTACTTCATGCCACCACCCTACCCTTTACATTCCCTTGCATTTGTAGCATGATACTTCTCACTCAGTTGAGTCTCCTTGAGTTGGGTTATCCCTTGGTATCGCATAGGCATTGGGACCGTAGCGTTATCTTGGCTTCCCTGCTCCCAGATCTAGCTCCCTCCTCCCCCAGTCAATGAGTTGTGTGCATGTTTCCCTCACCCACTGCCCTCATCACCCTAGTGCCGACTCTTGCATGCCTTCAGTTAGGCATATCTCCACCCTATTCCAGGCTCCCCTTCTCATGGCCGACCCTGCATGGTGTCACCCTTTTGTCGAGCATTACCCGCTCTAATGGTCTATCTGTCAGGGTCATTGGTTTTGTTTCGCTACCACTCTCCCACCTTCAGCCCAACGACATATCCCACCTTCGTGTGTGACTGCCCTTAGGAGTTTCGATTCTTAGGCTGCATTCACCCCCTCTGAGACCATCCCACTCTTAGTGGTTCGGCGACATGACATTATCTTGTGACATATTGCTCTTTTTCCTTTCAGCACTGAGGTCACTGCCTCCAGGACTTTAGGATTGTATCATGCTACATTTCATTTTCTGTTGTTAGTTAGGCTGTATATACCAGGCATTTGCTTTCCATTCGGCATTATGTAGCTTAGGCTGCATCACATGGACTCCGCATGGAGCTTGCTCCGCATCCTAGATTTCTCAGCTTTCTTTATTGCAGAGTTCCGCTGCTTTTGCGGATAGTGTGTTTATGGCTCTTGCGATCCATTACAGGTCCGAGGATCGTGCAATGGCCCTCTGCCCTGGCCTACAGCCAGGGCCTATTCGGCTATTTGCCAGTTCGGCCTGTGGGACCAGGCCGTGGCCTGACCCCACAAGCCGTGTACTGTTTCAGCCCAGTCCAGTCCTGCCCGGTACCACTGTCGGTACCAGGTCAGTCCAGTCCAGTCCAGTCAGTCCGTTGGGGGTATACCCCAGCTGCAGTCTGTATTTCGTCATTTTTCACTTTTGCACATCTTGGAGTACGTGTGTGTTGAGTCCGCGTCGGAGCTGCGTTGTCCCTTCCAGCTCCATCTCTACCTCTTCCTTCGTCAACCCTTCTTCTCCATCCTGACGGACCGCCATCCCGGCGGGTCCGACACACCACGGCTCACACCACGCTTCCAACTTCCAATACAAATCATTTTCTGTCATTTGCAAAATTAGGGCGGATACCCTTGTAAGGGTATTCGCAACGACAACGAAGCATTTGTTCCTAGGGAGAGTCGAATATTGATCGTAAGGCCAGTACATGCCTGTCATGTCATGTTTGAAGGGAACCACCCCATTTTTTTTTGTACCTAAGCAGTCAATGGTAGACTTTTTTTTTTTTTTTTTTTTTGGGGGGGGGGGGGGGGGACAATGCTCCAATCTATTCGTGGGGAGCCGCACGTGCTGGGAACCAGGCCCAATGTCCCATTTGAACATGAAACATCTTTGAGAACTTATACAGAAAAACTTTGAGATACCGGGGCTTTTACCCGACTTTGTCTGAGAATAGGATCATGAGCAATTACTAGCCTATTCGATGAAGAACCCCACGAAATAGGCTGAAATTCAGAAAAAGTATGAAAAAATCTGAAAAACTTGGCTAAGAAACTTCTGAACTATTCAGAAAATTAGTACGACAATCTTCAGAGAAAAAGGGGCTACCCACAACAAAAAATCGCCACCACAAAGGTCCAAATTGCAAGGACGATGAGCAATAGCGAACTTCAGCAATCAAACAGCATCATACATATGAGACCAGATAGCCGTGACCTCGAAGCAACAGCAGAATTGCATCACGAGTTTCACCAAATAA